TACGACTCGGCTATTATTGTGGACTTCTGGTGGACGACGCGGCTTGTGACTTGGACTCGATTTGGTTTTGTGCAAAAGGTGGAGTGAGGACGGAAGAGCGAAAAGGTCGCCAGCCGAGAAGGAGGACCCCTCACCCTTGGATTACAGTGGTTCGTGGTTGTAGATAGGAGGAACAAGCCGCTACACCGGTAAGTACCGCCGAGAGCGGCCCTTCTTTTTACACGGAGTCCCCTCGGAGAAGGGCCGGGATACCCACATTCACGTGTCCCGGGCGGAGATCGGTGGTCTAGGCGTTCGGGACGCTGACCTGAAGGGATCTCCGCTAGGGAAGAGGTTTGCCCACCGAGCTTACAGAGATCGCGACCGCGTGATAGGGAGACGCGCCTCGTGATAGGGCAAGCTAGGGACGGTGGGGAACGGTTAACCCTGCGGCCCTTACGAAGGGCCGCGCTCGCCGTCAGAAGTTACGTTACACGCGGATCTGTACGAGATCTATTTCTTTCCTTTGCTCTGAATAAACGGATATTAAAACTTCGACCGGCATTTTTCATTGGCGTACCCCGAACCGTTCGAATCTCGTCGCCCCTACGTTCCCCTCTATCATTTCAGCTAGCTGAGGCTGAGCAGCCGGGAGATCGCGTGGAAGCGGCCATAGAAGGAACGTGGTGCGGGAAAGCCGCACCTGGCGCCCAACAATCCGATCTAGTTCGGATCTCGGATAGTTTTCCGGATATCGGCACGTTGGGAGTGGCCGTAGATTATTTGTCGGCTACGCCGTTGGCCGGCGTACGTCACAATGCTTATCATTTTACGCACGAGATTAATAAGTACAATTTTGTTTTTGCTAATTTTTCGTAATGTCTTTTTTATCCGTCTGAATAATATTTATGCTATTAAAAAATGAAACAACGTGCCATAGGTGTTTGTCACAGGCAAGCTCTCGGGAAGAAGACACGTTCGCTGATTCATGTACCAATTTATTGCATGTATACGATGTAATATAATACAGTATTTGTAGTGTAATATAATCATATATTTATAGAATCTTAAGTTAATTAGGTGAACCAATAAGCATAGTTGTTAATTAAAAAAAAAAGGGATAAGAGGTGAGTTTCAGAACTCGAGACTCTAAGACGTTAATCCAGCATCAAGCATATGTGCCGCCGAGTCATTATGATGTATCACTTACAAAACTTTTATTTCTGTAGTTACGCACGTTCGACGGTTTGTTTAGAGTTTTATTTGCTTACTCTATTATTTCCAAAGCTTCATATGGATATTAAGGGTATTAGCATCGGCAAAATTGACTACCTGGTTACTACGGTTTATGTAATATCCAGTACAAAAAAAGGTGCTACTGGCGTGATTGCAACACGTGACTTTCTCATCACGATTGTTACTGGCGTCACGTCACGTTTGTGAAATGATTTGATGTTAAGAATTGAGTGATGTAGAGTTGAAATAGAGAATTCTTTTAGCTTAGTCAGTTTTTTATCGAGTTGTATCTATTGTATCTACGTCTAGATATTGACGTATACTGAGGAGACTTTTTTATTGGCTCTCATAAAACTAGTTAAAAAAAGGGTCTGTACATTGCAGACTAGAGCATAGTAATTTTTTAATTAGACTATCGATAGTACAATTTCTTTTTATTTTTGACATTTCAGGTAAAGTGCCAGAACGGTTTGGTGTTTTGGTGTCAATTAAAATTTTTTTTTTAGATTGCAATACTTTCTTACATACTTTATATGTGATAAGAATGTAAAAAGGTGGATAAAAGATGAATACAAGTCTCCCTATTTGAGTGTTCACTCGGTTTAAATCGTGGATCTCGAGTGACACACGAATTCATTCGACCAATCAAAAACGTGGAACTGCTTTGAGAGCCCTCCGCTAAGGTGGCGCGCCGAAACCAGATTAAAAGTGAGGCCACGAAAAACAACCCCATTCGCAATCTCGCTACTTATCTCTGTTCGTCTCTAGTACTAGATAGTTTTAGCGCAGTGTAGCGCGATTCGAATTTTTTTACTAGGAGCACGTAGTAAAGGAACTTTAAATATTAACGACGGAAAAGAAGAATAAATCATACGGTTCTTTGTTGTGTAATCTATATCACAATCTTTTTTGCCGCATTTATTTCTGGAATTAACGTATAACTATAATCCTTCTGCTTATAAAGAAATAAATGAATGTGTAGTGCGCCCTAATGCTCGTGTATTAGATCATGTTCGCGTTATTACAGTTCACCGATAATACATATCACATATGCAAATCGGGAGATTTAAGTACTCAATGTGTGGATGGGAAACATCTTTATTCTTTAAAATATGATAAAAAGAAAAGACATGAAGCCCGGCTTGTGGTTTACGACGGTGAATACAGAATTTCTGCCTTGATTTTTCACATTTATAATTCTCTACTATACAAAAATAACTATATTTATTATACCTGTCTTCCATTTCAGAAAGTGCTATACTCCTGAATAGAATGAAGAAGAATCTTGAATCCAATGTCCATGACAAAGAAATTGATACAATTAAATCCCAAGAAACTTCAGTTGAAAGTATGTTTCTCTTATACATAATAATAAGCATAATGAATCAAATATCCATATTATTTAGAATATTGCTTTTTTGAATTTATGAGTCATATTATTTTATTCATACCTGATTATTCAGTCGAAGTGCACCATCGAAACATGGTTTCACTAAAAGAATCGAATGGATGCCTTATCTTCAGCTGGTGGGTTTGGATCGAACAACCCTGTATATTATAATATGTTTCCATGATTATGTTCTGCATAGCCTTTAAAATATTGAATAATTTCTAAAAATACAACAAACTATGAGTTTAGGCAAATAAAAGAAATCTAGATCTCATGTACTTTGTGTGAACAACTTGAACCTGTTTTTTCATAGTATCCAATCTGCTGAAGATAACTTTTAAATAAAAGTTGCAACATTAATTCACATATACATTATATAAAGTGACTAATATACTGCAAAGGATGATCCTTAGAAATAACTAATTTTTTTCATACGACAAAAATAGGATAGTAAAATGAATTATTAATATAGTGAAATATTTAATACCTTGCAAGCATCTGAAGTGCTTAGTGTACAATATGACAGAGTCAGTAGATCTCATTGTCTCAGTGATTTGAAATTAACTGTGGAATAAATTGCTGGCATCCTTTTAATTTATCTCGATTATCCTCTTTATTGCCTGTGGATGTCAACAGTAATGTATAAATGTTCTTATAATAATAAATGTTTAATTTAATGAAATCTAATCCGAAGAAGACCCAAATCCAAGTCCAAACGTAATCTGACTATTAATTGTCTTTAATCTGGATGCAAGTGGTTAATACCTCGAACGACAAATAATGAATTAGTTCTTTAAAATACCACCACTTTTTTAAAATAAAATTCCAGGATTTTACAGTTTCTAAGAATTCTTTTAACAATAATATATTCTTTATATGTAAGGTTATCTCTGTTTAAATAAATACTGCATAATTATTTTATGACAACTAAATGAGCAATATCGTACAACTTAATTTTCATTATTCTACAGTAGGTAATCTGAACGCGAGTAGGCACCAACCTGTTCAATTAGAAAATGCAGCCATCACTGACATCAAGTATGATTATTTTAATTATATTTATACTTTAATACTTCTTTGTGCCGTAATAGATGCAAATATTTTGAAAATAACAGTTGTAGTGGAAACATTTTAGATAAACAAACATTACCAGCGATTAAAATGTTTTCATTCGATCTTCTAGTGTGTTCAGTTTGCTTAGTTTTATTTCAGTAAAGCCACTTTTTACATACTGAATATTTAATTTAGCGGTTCTCAGACACATGCATTGTTGGAAGCGAAATTGGAACTCTCTGTGGATCTTGGAAATGGCATTGAAACCGAATTAACAAGTTTTTCCGTTTGTAAAGTGGAAAATCTTAATATTTCTGGGGACTCTTTAACTGATGATGTTCATATCGCAACGCCGTTGGAATTAAGCAATGATTTAGATAGTTCTGATAACAGTAAGTATACAGTATTCATTGGGAGCATCCTATGATGCGTCGAAACGTTATAAATAATTTCTATGATATCTTACAAAACCTCATGATTGGGTTTATAAATGTTTATTTTAAACTTGAAGGATTTTTCACGTGCATAAAGATTGTTGCAATTTATAGTAACACTCATAATTTTATTGATTTGTTTGAAACAGCGTATATTATATCTCCCATGGTTGGATCGAAAAATGATTACCTTCAACTGTCATATGTGAGTTTACATGGAGACGATCATGAATCTTCTCATATTGAAACCCTGAGCAAAAATTCTTCAGCCAACAAATTGGGTACATCTAATGACTTGCACGTGTCTCTCATAGAAAAAGGTCAAACTGTTCCTGATGACATGAATTTAGAGGTAGAACATTCCTCGCAGCGTTCGAAAAGATATTTTTGCTGTTACTGTAAAAAAACCCAGACTAAATTTGCTCGTCATTTAGAGTTAATCCATAGTCAAGAACAAGAGGTACAATGTTTTCTTCAGCTTCCGGTAAACGACTTTGAAAGAAAAAGTATCATTGCAAAGCTAAGAAAAAAAAGCATCCATGAGTTCAACACCAATAGCCAATACAATACGGGAGAACTGATGGTATGCAGGCGCCCAAACGAAGGATTAAAAAAAAAGAGCTATTGATTTCACTGTCTGCGCATACTGCAAAGGATATTATGCCAAATCCGTATTCAGACATCATTTCCGAAAGTGCTCTAAGCTTAGTAGCGAAAATAATAGAATAGGAATGGTTAAAGGTCGTGAAGTTGCTGGACGGGTTCATGAAAAGGCTAGTATGTCTGTAAAGAAATATATAATCTCGTACATGCGAGAGGATAATATATTCTATGAAATCCGATTTAATGAATTATTGACTTTGTTTGCTAATAAAGAATGCGAAAGATACGGTATTCAGCACCATTAATACCAAATGATTCGTTCATATTTACGGTACCTTGGTCGTTTTTTAGTAGCTATGAAAAAAATCAACTCAAAAATCACCACTTTTTCATCAATTTATCGACCAAAATTGTATGATGACTGCATACTAGCAGTCAAACATGTTGCTGCGTTTAACGATAGCACACACGTATATGGAAATCCATCGGTTGCTATATCTTTGGGCATTCTCTTGAAAAAAGTTGCTGAAATATACCGTTCTGTCTGTATAAAAAATGGAAGAGATGAAGAATTAAAACTCTTACAAGATTTTATCTTTTTACAAAACGAAGATTTTGGCATAAACGTCAATAAAGTTGCAAATGAATCATTGGAGCAACAGAAATGGCAAAAGGAAGGTCCCTTCATGGATGATATTTCGAAGTTACATGACTATGTCACACACAAGCGAAGATCTGCTTTTCAAAATCTGAAGGAAAAGTTCTTCTACTGTGCCTGGTGTGCCCTCGCGGAAGCAACTCTTTTATCCATTCAACTGTTTAATAAAAGAAGCCCTGAGGAAATCGAAAGGATATTATTGGATGATTTTCATACCTGTGAAAAGATACACACTGACTCCAAGAACCCTATTTTCAAATCACTTTCGAAGGAGTGTCAAAATGTGGTGAACGCATGTGCACGATGTATGATTCGTTATGTGAAAGGTCGTCAAATACATATCCTTTTGAGCTTCGACATATTGCAGTGTGCTAAGCTTGTGGAGACATGTCGAAGTAAGGTCAATGTACCACCGACCAATCCATATCTCTTTGGAGTACCTAGTAACGATGAAAATAGTCCTAGATGTCCTAGTTACGACAATTTGCTGAAGATAGCGGCGTTAAATCACCAACACTGTTGAGCGGAACAGAATTGCGGAAGCATATTACCAAAAAATGGAGGCATTTTGATTTGTCAGTAAATGTACAGCAGCAAGGTTGTTTGAGAGATATTTTGGTATTATCAAAAATTTTAGAAATAGCTCAAGGTACACATAGAAATACAACGGAAGATAACGGTTTCAACTGTGGCGACCATTCAGTGATGAATTCAGTGCCCGATAAACATATCGGTGTGTATTTTTTTTTCTAAAATGTTTGATATATGACTACGTTTACACGGCAGTCTGATTCCGGTTTAATTAATACTGATCTAAGGAAGATAACAAATCACAGACATTTCCACTTCTAAAGATTGATTTTGATGAACAATTTCCTTAGATGAGTAATAACTAAATCAAAATAACATCACTGTGTAAACATAGTCTATGATACTTTGTACCTTCTTATGTTCATAATGCATGATATTCGGACTATTTGTTGTTTGTTTGCTGATTCGAATTGACGTAGAACAAACTTGTATATTTTGTATTTTCAAAATTGCGTTATAGCTGACACTCCTAATGAATCTTCAAGTAGTGCTACTGAACAACCTTCCTCTAAACACGCTAGAATTGCAAACAATGTCTCAACAGTGAAGGAGGAGGAACATGAAGAGGAAGAGATGCCATCAAAAAGAAGATTCTCGTTTGGTATGTTGACAAAAAAAGACGCATTACTGTTTTTAAGACTTCTTAAACTGAAGCTTGAAGTAAGTGGAATGAAGAAAAAATCAGATTTGGCCTTGTAAGCTCCTGTTTACGCCATTACGACCGTTCACTAAATTACATTTTTCTGCGAATCAGGACACTCATCGCACTTAAACCAAGAAGAGCCGCCTTGCTATGGACGAAACAAAGCGGGATGATCTAAAAATGTTGTCAATAACTGTTTAACAGACGCAAAAAATGACAAATTGGATTCGACCCGTATTTCACTATCTCCAGAATCCAATAGATGGCGGTAGCTGTTCATTGCAGTTAGAGTCCCTCTAGTACGAATCACTGGAGATAAATGGAAGAAAAGCGAGATCAGGATAATCTACGTAAGACGTCACAGAGATATCTGTGTAAGTCAAATGACATTATCATAGAACATTGCAGTTTTCAGTTAAGTAATGCTTGATTGTTCAATTGAGAACTTCTGTTCTCAGCGAGTGACATCCAATAGGCATGTCTTCGACCGACGTCGTCCTGTCCGAAGCCACCGAGAAACAAAAGCGAGGGAAGAAAACTCAGAGTTCGTAGGTGCCTACGTTCCTCTTGGCGCCTCGCTCTGATTGGTCAACTTTGACCTGCTCCCATTTAAAAACTATGTCCTTCCGGACAAAAAGAAGGTCATTCTCGTGATCAATGAAGCCTCCCGAAGACCGCGATACCCCGTTGGTAATGTAATTTTGGAACACCCTGTATATCCTGTGACGTGGTGGATTTCACCCGTCTTGTCCTTGGCGGAAAATCACGCCGAAACGCGATACGGGCCTACAAGGCCATTGCAAAGTCCAGGCAGCATCCACCGACCGCGAGGACCTAAGTAAAATTACGATAGATTATTTTAGTATTTTTCTTTTGTTTGGCGTGTACTCTGCCGGAGTTCGAATAGGTGCTCGTTCGCCGTGCCCATGAAGACGCGGAGAGAGAGGGAGAGCCAGTTGGAGTCCCTGGAGGAAGGGAGCTGCGACACGCGAGGGTCGACACTCGCGCTATCTGCGAACAGCAGCTCTACTGGCCCAGGAGGCGCGCGCAACGCGGGACAGCTTGACGTCACGCGGCAGCAACGCGCTCTACTCCGCTGGTATTCAACTACGACGACTGGAAGCGGCGCACAAAGCGCCACCCGACTGAGCACCACTACCGACCCCTATGGCGTAGCGCCCATCGTCAGTTTGCGCATAATTATATTTCCGCGAGTTGGGAACCCAGGGACGCCTGGTGAACCCTCGCGCGAGAACGAATGTTACTCTTTGTAGGACCGAGATGTATAAATTGTCCACAAGAGATGATGGAAATTATTAATTGTCGCGATGACATTTTCGAAACTGGCGCGTGGCGAAGACGCTAGGTTGAAGGATTCGTCCGCAGGGCGAATCGCCGCCCATTAGCCTAAAGGGAGGGGTGCTATCCTTCACGCGAAGACAAAGCGCGTGAAGATCGACAGATTCCTGCTTGGACACGCGAAGACGTTAAACGTTTTGTTTTATTGGATCTGATTTGTGAGTACGCGAGTGCACAACGTGCAAGTGGGCCGACGATTGGTTTTCTGGGATTACGCGACCAAGGAACACCACGGTAAGCGAGTCTAATTGACTTTTGTGAGCGACGTAACCTCGTGCGAATCGTGGTACCGAACTTTGTTGTGGTTTTCGTAAGTTTTGACCGCGCGTGTAACGGACCCGCGGAGAGACAATTCCTCACCTCGAAGTAGACCAAGGCACGATGGTCCGTCGACCGACAGGGTTCACTGTTTAGAACTTTTGTTTTGATCTGATTTTTGAATTCGAATTGTGTACGTTCTCCGAATTGTTTCGTGTCGTCCGCCCGTCAGGCATTTAGACCTTTTGATTTGGTAACGCGTAGAACGCGCACAGGTCCTTGACGGTCGGTTGTCGTATTCTGGTAAACGCGGATTAGCCGTGTTACGATTGTGGCTTTGAATTCGTACGGTACGCGAAGTAACCGTGACTATCGTTAGATTGTAGTTTTGTCTTTTCGACCTCTCTTAATTACTATTTCTGTTGTAAACAATTACTTCGGTCCTGTACAAAATCGTCGCGCTTCGCGCCGCCGATTTTCTTTAATAAACCGAACCATTTCTTTGAGATCGAAGTGTCTGAATGATTTTGTGTGTCGCGTGATCGTCTGACCCATCCGACCTATTGTTCCGAATCCCGCCGCCTCCGCGTAGCTGAGTTAGCCAACGGCACGTGAAGAAGAACCGTAGAGACTGATACGTGGTTCCCGTTTTGGAACCTGGCGCCCAACAATACCTTAGGTATTCTGTAAGAAAAATTTGATAGCCACTAGGTTGCCTGGAACACGTAGGAATCGCGTAAAGTTGTGCGCCGTATGTATGTATAGTCAAGGTATATACAGGGTTAGTCAGTAGAAAGACACCAGCAGAAGTTGGCCGCAAGTGACCGACACGGCAGTGTGGCCTCTCAAATTTTCAATCCTCTACACATAATAAATATATGCAGGGTTAGTCAGTAGAAACGCACCAGCAGAAGTTGGCCGCAAGTGGCCGACACGGCAGTGTGGCCCTATCAAAAAATGACATGTGTCTGTGAACAATTCCCATAAGCGCAAACTGACAGTTCGCATAGCAATAAGGTTTTTGAAATATTTCAATAGTTAGGTTACTGAAATAATTAATTAATATTGTAATGACAAAATGCAATATCATTTAAGATTTATTTTCACAACAGATTGCAATTAAAATAATGTAAAGTTTAAAATATTCACAATTTTGATATTTTCAAGTAATGATCACAACTGCAATTCTGCAATACAATGCTACAATTGAATTAAAAATCAATTAATTGAAATGTTTCTATAGCAAAAAAGTGTAGCAAAAGATCTGTTGTAAAAATAAGTCTTAATTGATATTATATTTTGTCATTACAATATTAATTAATTATTTCAGTAACCTAACTATTGAAATATTTCAAAAACCTTATTGCTATGCGAACTGTCAGTTTGCGCTTATGGGAATTGTTCACAGACACATGTCATTTTTTGATAGGGCCACACTGCCGTGTCGGCCACTTGCGGCCAACTTCTGCTGGTGCGTTTCTACTGACTAACCCTGTATATCGACAACGCTATTTCTCACAGAAATCTATTAATTTTTTATCAATAATCTCTCCTTTCCTCTCCTGAGGTCTCCTGACCTCTGATATTGTCAACATGTTTCTAATCTCATAAAAGGCGATAATTAGAATTATTTCTAACATAATGTTATTTTTTTACAAAATCCAATAATTAAGAGGACTCTGGATCTTTCCATACCATGCGAGTAAAATGTAAATGAAAATTGCAAATAATATGATTTTGTTATTCTTGTTTTCACATTCTTCAAGTGCTGCAATAATTTTTACATCACTTTTGCAATAATTAACTGAAAATTTAAAGAATAAGCGGATCCGAAAATTTCGATGTGAATTTTAAAAATGCGAAAACTTTCGGATTGTATTACTCCTTCAGTTTTTATTTAATTACTGCGCAAGTAGTGTCAAAATGATAGTTAACTTTGCAAATTATGCGCTGCACTCCACTTTGAGGAAGAATCTTTGTCAACATCCTGTTATTTGCGATTTTCGTTAAAACGTTCCTCACATGGTAAATAAGAGGTTCGGAATTCCATTAAGATAAATCTATCAAGCCTTGTCCAAGTAATATAGGGTGGACACTGAAAGATTGAAGGGTTTGAAGGTTTTTTAAAAATACGCTCAACGTACGATTAGGATAATTATTTTTCTGTGTTTCATTGTCGTGAGCATAGTTTATAAGTTCCCTACCCAGTTCTTTTTCGCAAAACCAACGCGTAATTGTAATCAGTCTTCACGAACATCTCGCGATAATTATAAAGCAATAAGCCCATGGGAATAATTCATGATGGAATTTTTGGATTAATACCACCAATGAGTAAGAGAAAGAGAGAATTGTTCTATCTTGGTGTAAACCTTAGAACCTAAGAACGTTATAACTGCTGACTCGGAGGTTCGTGACGATAACGCAATGAGACCACGGGAAGCAAGAGGGATCCGCGAGAGTCCACGGTTTTGGAATGTATACAATCAGCATTTTATTATCCCTTCTCTAAGTCCATGAGGTTCTCCGAGCTTGGATCCACCGTAGGAACAATCAGTCTACTTAGGAGCTTCATCTGAAACAGTCATTCTTCTTCTTTCATATAAATTTCGAGTCTTAGTCGAACTTAGTGTGAAACAAGTTGTGTTAAGCCAAGATACCTTAAGGCCATCTTGTGTTCCTCACCTTGGAAAACCAACGAGTGAATCACTACAATTACCACTAGATTTCAGTGTTCTCTTGTGTCATTGTAATCACTGCATTAGTGCTAGTGCTTGCCTTAGCGGCCGAGACAAAGATTATCCTTTGAAATTTGGATTACCTTCTTCTCTTCAAACTCAGCATCTCCAAGTCTCTCTCTTTTCTCACTACTGGTGAGTTGCACTACGACAACAAATATTATATCTTTCGCGTTGTTATATGTATATATACATATTCATATTCGGGTCATCTACGTAAAATCGTATACACTGCTTGCGCTGACTACATTTACTTACTCACACTCAACCATTGTAACGCTAACAACACAAATACAAATATCATATATGTATACATCTCACCACTGAGTGAGTAACGATATCAGGCGATAAGAACGCCCAGGCAGACCGTTGCACGTACCGTAGAGCAAATAATCAATAGCTGTCAATTGTTTGTAAACCAATCACTATCAAATCTTTAATATAGTCATCATTTTACAGCATTCATCAGTTTATTCGAATCATTGCTAAAATACCAATTTCCTTTACTTTCATTGTGTACCCAAGATTCTGATCTCGATCATCGTTCAACACGCAAGGAATAAGCAACAGAACAACAGTTGGGTTTGCTTGAGCACTTTAAAGTGGCAAGAATCCCAAAAATAAAAACAAATCCATCCTCCACGTACATTCCACCATCTAAGACGTATCGAACGTAAAAACAAGGGTGCAAAGTAGAACCTTGCAAATTGCTTCCTCATTATTTTACTTGGTTTTTCCTATCACAATGATGCAAAGTAGAATCTTACACTTTGCTTCTTGATTCTTTTCTTTCGTTCAAAAAGCCTCCACTATGAGGAAGTTCTTTGATTTATTTTCGCGAGTTATGTACAATTGAGTTTTAGTACTTACAGGAATAAAAAATTAAAAATGAGGTAAAAAAAAACAAAACAATAACGATAATTTTTTGAAAATTTCAACACCACGTAAAATCTGAACCGCTTTAGCGATCTTGTTGAAATTCAATACCAAACAACATTGAACGTATCTTCAGTTATGAAGAACTATTTAGCTAAATCATCGAACCTTTACGAAAGTTAGAGCGACCACGCCCTTTTTTCAAAAAATTTTAAATGACATAAAATCTGAATGGCTGCATATATTTCATTAAAAATCGCAACATTTAATGAGGGATATCTACTTTACTT